TTCTGAGGCTCCACACTTTGTATGTCAGCCACCTTGACACTATTAAGGAGACAGAGATGTAAGGCCTTAATGGATGACCATAGTACAAGAAATTGAACCTAGGAGCCAGTCACCATTCAGTGCCCAACAGCCAGATTAATTAGGATTCAGATTTGGATTCTAGTTTGCAATTGATCACTGTCACCATTCAAAGTTCAAGGCTCTCTTCACTTTTCCTAGGAGCACTGCTGAAGATGATCCTCCACAGTTTCTTCAGGCAGCCTGAACCACAGAGCAGTTCCCATTACTGTGTTTTGTCTTCACCTCTCCTTTCTTTTTTTTTAAGGGTGATTTTCTGAAGCAATTTGCCATTTTTTAATCTGATTTCTGTCTGTCACTATTCTCCCTGTTTATCTACTGTTTTATTACATTCTGTCTATACCTTACCACACCCCTACCGTTTCTAATCCTACGGCTTTTCTAGCTCTGATTTACTCACTTCCATTTCCTCTTTTCATTTCTTTTTTAATTTTCTCATTTAGAAATCGCATTTCATAATCCTTTTTGGCAGTGAGACGGAGATGTCATATACTTGCTGGTGTGCAAATGCTTTCCTCAGAAGTCCAACATCTTTCTCATCCAGCCACTAAAAGAAGCTGATTCTAAAGGCATATTTAGTGGTAGGTAGATGGTTATGTACTATCTAGTTAAAGCAGAAGTATGCCTTATTTAGAGAATTTTAAAATAAATTGAGACTGAATGTGTAGTCTCCTATTTGAGTAGTTAATTCCTCTACTGCATCTGTATTTTTTGAATCTCAAATTTCAGCTTTTTTTTTTTAAATTCAGTTTATTTCTTAAACTACCACTGGAAGTTTTTAAAAAGAGCCATAAATGAAAGGAAATAAAATGAAATACGAGCCTAACACAGGAGTTTCTTCAGGGAACCTTAAAACCTATTAGTGCCAGTTTGTGTAAGGTTCAGATCAGATGTGATCATCTGGAAAGCTGGTCTTCCAGAATAAATGTCAAGCAGCATGATTACCAAAAAAAGGCAAATGGAATAGATGAGTTTCAAGCTTTGCAAAGCTCAGTGTGAGAGGTCCTTATCCTTCCAATGACTATCCTTTGACAGAAACTGAAGGAGTACAAAATGTGCCAGAGGGAAACACTGATTCCACACAATCAATAGTTTTGATTTTCATGCTGTCACAATTCAGTAATAAATTAGGAATCAGAGGATCCACCAAAAAATGCCAGATGGTTCATTATGAAATACACCAGCTGTCCTTTTTCCTCCAACGTCTCATTTTAAACTGGTGGAAAACAAAGTTGCTTTAATCTACCCCGTACAGCTCTATAATAAAAACAACCACCAAAATAAAGGTTGAAATATCCAGCTACTCACTGGATTCACCTGGTCTACCATCATAATGTCATGGAGTGTAATCACCCAGTTACTTTGCAAAATAGATCACTGAGGTACCTCTGCTCCCAGCAGACACCATATTGGCTGTGCATCAATTAACAGGTGTTGTATTGTTGCTATATATTTATTTCTAATAATGTCAGCAGAGTGCTCTTCAGTTTCCAAGCATGTCTGTTGGTTCTAAGCATGTCCCCTGCCTAACGGAGTTCATAGTGTCAGGGCAGACAAGTAGACAAAGAGCTGTTAGTATACAACACCTGTACAGTTGAGCTACCATGGACATGAGTTGGATGTGTACGTTGTACCTCACACCTAACAAGAGCAGTTGTCACGATTCTCACTAGAGGTCATGTCAAAGGTGGCTGCTGTGTTAATGGGCTGTGAATGGAAATCAAAGGCAGTTTTAGAGGGATATACTTGAATGACTTGAGACAAAACTCCTTAGTTCAACAGATTAGCAATACACCTATTTCCAAAAGACCCATGTATTTGAACAGAAGGCAGGGGGTAAAGAATTTATTTTAAAATCATATCTGTGTTTACTATCTTTGGGTGCTACCTTTGCAAAGCAAATAGCTCAGAACTGTTTATAAATAAATCCTTGGAGTTCTAGAAGAATACTTTCTTAAACATACTCCTCCCTGTTTCATTTTAGCTGTATTACTCAAGTAATTAAATTGGTACATTTTAAGAACGTAACAGACTACATGTATTCTCCAGAGCTCAGCTTCAGTTATTGCAGCACAGCCAAACTCTTTCCACTAAGGTTTGCTAGAGATAACAAATCTATCCCTCAGTTGAGCATAAAGATGTAAGCAGTGCAAAAAGAAGTGGTTGAGGGTGACATTTTTCACATTGCCTTCCAAAAAACCCTTCTTTTCAGTTCCCTAGCTAAAAAACACAACCTAATTCCTGTAGCTAGATGAGTGTATTAGCAAAGTCTAAAATACAGCCCTGTAAAAAGTTTCTATGATTTACTCACCTATGTAGCTGGTTTATGTGTTTATAAATTTCAGTCCTTCAAAAACTTTTGGAAGGCTACTCAAATGTGTCATTGTTAGATCTGCAGCCACAATTTCACCACACTAGTAATGTAAACAACATTGGTTGGGGGGCTAAGTGCACACACCTACGCCTCAGAGAAGAAAGAAATAATA